ATAAGTTTGTTGATTTATCGAGTGGTGCAATATTGATATTAGATAAGGTGGGTTGCTAATGTAGCTATATTTATAGGACAATTTTATAGATGTGGTAAGCCACTTGTGGTTTTCCACTTTAGAGTATTCATTTTTTTTCGAGATTTTTATGATATATACGAATATAGTTGAATTATTATTTCGTTATAAAAGATAGTTTTGTGACTTTAGTATAACAATTGAAAAATGAATTGATATTATTAATTATCCTTGAAACTTCCTTCTCTAGTCAATAGCAAACGTAGGCATAATACCCTCTTTTCTTTGTGAGTTACTAACAATACATAAAATCACGAGATCAGCGGCAGAGTCTAAATTTTCACTAATATTATTCAAAATATGAAGAAATAACTACACGAGAAATTGAAGAGAATTCAACATATACTATATATACATAAGAAATAATTTTAATCATATATAAACAATGTAATTTCAAGCTTACCTAACTCTGCCTTTGACCACAATTAAGAGTGGACAACAAACGAATCGAATCAAATATTGACATATTAAAAATAGGATGATAAAACTTTTATTTTTTCTACGTTTGAATATATAAAATTTATATTTATTTTTAAAAATATAATATATATAAATATAAAATTCAATAAAATACATTAATGTAATACTACATAACCAAAAGAATTAAAAAAATTATATGACTCTAGTTTGTAGGTGCCGATTGAGAATCGTGTTGGCTAATAATGGTGTTGTTATGGGTTATAGCTAGTGGCAATGATAGTAGATAGTAATGATTGATGGTGGCGGTTAATAATTATGATACATAATAGTGATAGTTAATGACGACGATAGTTGACGATATATAGTAATGATTGTTGGCAATGATGGGAGGTTCTTGTGATAATGGTGTCTAATGATGGTGATCGTAAAAGGTGGCTAGTTGTGACGACTTACGATTGCAGTGATTGCCAATGATGGTGTGTCGTGGTAGTTGATATTGGTGGGTGGCGATGGCGGTAGCCAATAGTTGACAATATCCACTATTATCATCTTCGTATGTCTCAATATATATGACACACATTATTCTTTTTATCGATCAAATTTATGTAAATATTGAGACACACTATTTTTTCTCGAGCGGAGTTGAGGATATGATTAACAGGTTTAGGCGAATTTAATAATTTTGGTTCAAATTTTGTATTTATTTTTAAAATTTATTAAACATACATAAATTATTAAAATTAGAATACAATAACTTTAAAAAAACTAAAATTTTGAACCCATAAACTTTAAATTTTGATTTCCGATTATTCACATTTTGACATAAAAATATTTCCAAATCCAAAACGCATAGAATTCGGGCCCGTTTGGCCATAGATTTCCCAAATAGTATTTGGGAAAAAATTTGGCAAATAGTGTTTGTCCATACAATTTGCCATTATTTGGCAAATATTTTTGGCAAATATCCCAAATTCCCAAATATTAGTTTTTTCTAGTATTTGGGCCAAATCTCATTATTTGGGATCTTTTGAAAATTACCCCAAACTTTTTATCTTTTTACAAAAACACCCTCTATAGTAGTTCTTTGTGTCGTATTACATAATTTTTCACGTGAACACCAAAGTAGTGATGAAATATTCAGTGAATATTAAATGATGATATGGTTGTTGATGAAAATGATGAACAATCGGCTCAGGATAACAAAGTCATGTGCTTTGTCTACTTCACGATGTATGAAATGATGCTTGTTGCACTCACTCCAAACTACCACATTGCTCTAGTGTCATGGACACTATTTGTTATTGTTGCAACGAAAATTCAATTGACTTGTAATACAAACTTATGGTTAGTTTTGATAGTTTTTAAAACTTATGGGTATAAATCATATTTTTCTAAAAAAGTGAAATATATTTCCCAAATACTATGGCCAAACACATGGTGAAATTTCACCCAAATAATATTTGCCAAGAATATTTAGAAATCTATTGCCAAACGCTAGCTTCATGTGGCTTGAAATCTAGTCAATTTTGTGTGAACGTATACTTAGCAACAAGAAATAATAAATAATAAATTAGTAGAAGAACAAGTTGGTTAAAAAAAACAGTAGATCTTTTTCTATTTAATTTCTTCTTAGGGATTGCTAGCACTTCAAGTTGATTTTTTTTTTTAAAAATAAAAACAAATCTAGTGGTACAAATATAACTCAAGTCAAATTAGTTTGGACAGCATGCAAAAATCTACTAGTTTAGGAGCTAATTATTTAGATACATTCTATTTTACAGTATTATGATTCTTACCGAATTTGGTATGTCTAGATACATGTATCTTGGGATACATGAGGTCAAAGCCAATATTTGTTCTAGAAAGACTATATACGAATCTTGCTCGACTCCCTCCCATCTTACTCATCACTCTCCTATGTATCTGGTATCCCAGATACATGTGAATTACACAAGATACACACTAGATACATGTATATGTTGTAATTCACATGTATATGGGATACATGACTATTTCGCTCGTCTTCCTCCCCATCTCGCTCGCCTCTCTCCCTATTTAGTGTATTTGATAGCAAAAATAAATGTATCTATGTGTATCTTCCTCGATATATGACAGAAAACTCTTAATTAGTGGTATAGATATACAAAATTAATTATTTAAAAGTATATATAAAATTAATATATGTGGCATGGATGTATCATGCATGTCTAATATTATAGTTTTCCCAATTATATTGTTTTCCATTTTTATTTTTACTTTGATAAATGTGAAGAAAGATTAAATTAATATCAAAGAATAAATATGAAAAAATTATAATTTTTTTTTTTTTAATTAATAATTTCTTAAAAAAACATGTGAAAAACAAACGTTTTAAGTAAAATAATGGGTCAGAAATGAAAATCTCTATACAATTTTGTATAACGTTATTCACTACTAGAAATATAGGTTTTTCTCCACTCCGAAATAGTGGAAAATTTATGCTATAACATATTATTTTTCCTCTCATTTCTTACCGAATCAATTTATTGGGAAAAAGCATGGTGGAAAACATGTTCTTACTGAAATAGTGGAAAACTTCCTAATTTTTCAATATGAAAATGTTACTATATTTTTGTTTTTTGACCGATTCAATCAAAACATCCATGAGAATAACCACTAAACATTATTCTGTTAGTGGTGATTATAGTTGGTTAAAATTGTTGTTTTTTATTTTATAAAAAAATTATGAAAATTGATTGAAAAATGAATGCATGTGCATTTAAAGTTGAAAAAAATTGCATGTTTTTTTTAATTACATTTTTTCAAGAAGCATTTTAAGAGTGACATTTCTGCCAATAGAATATTTTGACACATTTATTAGGCGGTTAAAATGTAAACTATGATTTTTCTTTCTAATATATAGATTGCCACTTGAGATAATATAGATGGTCCTTACTTTTTACCAAGCTACACAAGAAAAATGGTTTTATTACAATTAGGGTGAAAATACACGCAACTCGTTCGATGATTCTACTGGTTGAGTCACGATTCGTTTATTGAGTTAACTCAACGAATTAAATTCAAAATGATTCATCAATCAATCGAATTAAAATGAATCAAAATATATAACTCACGAGGTCAATATGTAATCCAATCGAAAAAAAAAGTAAAATATATTAGAAAAAATATGTCTCTAGAAGATGTCAAGTTTTGGTGGAAGTTTAATATATAGAGAGAAATAATTTAGACAAGTAATTGATAAATATTTGAAGGATTGAATCTTTACCTAATAATTAATTTGATCTATTTTGATTTGATTCAACTCGTTAATCATATACCACTCTTGATCACAATAAAAATTAAAGAGGTTGTGACCAACATCCTATATATAAATTTAGAGGTCTAGCGTCATGACCCAATTCCAAAGATCGAAATGACACTCAACTACCTCGTCAAGCGAACCAAACATAAAAGTGTAGAGATCATGAGTATGGAGAAAATCGTATTGAGATGCATCATCCTTGAATGATCCCTGCAATGCGCAGTTCAAATTTAATCGGAACTCTAATATAGACTCCAAATATCGAGTGAGAAAAAAAAAACACACACTTCATAAAATAAATTTGCACTTGGACAACTCACGTGCCATAACATAAATCCTAGAAGTGAATTGAGTGATGCAATCTTAAATGATAACTATTGGTACATCATGCAAAATGGATTATATCCTTCATGTAAAAATACACGCACTACATCATTATGTATGTTGTGTCTAACTTCTTGTGCTCATACATCTCCAAGCTATCTTTGGCATGATAATGATAATAAGCGAGCCTCACTCCATCACTTCATCATCTTTGTATTTGTCGTGATAAATTATTGACTCTGATACTAGTTTTCGGAGGTTAACCAACCCTAAAATACTCTTAACTAGTATCAATCATATTATTCTCTTTAAGTCACGCGAATCACGCCCACACGATTTTTTCCAAAAAGTCTCGCACCATGACATACATTTTATATTTAAATTCACAACCCTTTTAATAATCAATATAAGACTCTATTCGCACATAACACCACTTATCCTTCTCATTAAGAAAGATCAATATAGGAAAAGCTAGATACTCATTTTGTGGATGAAAATTTTTCAAAAAAGTAAAATAAGTCAAATCCCATTGTTTCACTTCAACTATAAATTGAACTTGTTAATGTTGTTCCATTGTGTGCACATTTTCATCCTATCACCTTCTCTTTTTTCTTTCTCAACTCAATCATTTCCAATGGATATTGATTCCAAAATCCAAGAAAAAAATAGTGTCTTCAACATGTTGTGGAACCAATTCAAGTGGTTTCCAATAAAGTTGATAAACAAAGTTAGCAACATTGCTAATAACACAATAAATATTGGAAAAAATGATCCAAGAAAAATTTGGCATGCAACCAAAGTGGGATTATCTCTCACTTTGGTTATATTGTTTTATTATTCATGGCCACTTTATCATAGCTTTGAACAATCAGCCATCATGGCTGTCCTCACAGTAATGGTTGCATTTGAGTATACTGCTGGTAATTTTTCACTACAAAAATAAAATAACCATATAATTAGCTATGAACTTCGATGCTAACTTGACATGTCACTAAATTGTTCATAAGTCATAACTAACATATTTTTTTGATTATCTGACGTTAAATTGGTTCATCGATGAATTTTTATTGTTTAACTACAAAACTTGTCTTCATAACATAATTTGTTGATTACAAATTTTGTCTGTCATTGATTCCTATTTTTTTTTTCTTTCTAATTTGATGATTTTGTTTTTTTACATTTGATTTTCATGTTAAAGGTTTTTTATTATTTTCAGGTGCAACTATATCAAAGTGTTTAAACATAGCATTTGCTACAGCATTAGGTGTCTCATTAGGGATTGGAGCTAAATATTTAGCTGAGTTTTGTGGAAAAGTAGGGGAGCCTATAATTCTTGGGTTTTTGGTCTTCATTCTAGGTATGATATGCATGCACAATACAATCTTTTTCTCTATTATAAAAAAAATGGAAAAATTCAAAAAAATAAAATAATTGAAAGATAAATAGATATTAAGTCCTTTTTTCATATTAATCAAATCATAAAATTGTTTCACATGACAACAATAGTGTATATGTACATCAAAGTGAGGATCTAGCATACATCTTATAGGTCGACGCAAATTCAATAGTTTTGGTTCAGATTTTATATGAGAAAATTTGATGGACATGCAGAGGAGAAATGTTATCCCCACTTAGATCATCAAGACAAAACTTTTACTTGTTCAAATAACATCTAAAGATAAAGCATATATAATCAGGAACGACAAATCACTTCATGATAAAAAAAACATATTTTGCATGTTTGTTATATCACGGGTAATTTCAACAATAAATCAGTCTAATGACATATTTTTTTAAATATTGAAGCCAAGACCAATGCTATACTAGTATGATATAATTGAGACGTTTTCTGAAAAGTCAAAAATCAAAATTTTCTATTATAAGTTTATCTAAATCGACCGTACCGCCAGTGGCGGAGCCAGAAATTTCACGAACAGTGTCCAGAAATTGCACAATAAAAGCTCTTTTTAAAAAGTGTTGCTAGTGAGATTCAAACACATGTGCACTGGCTCATTCGATGCGTTTGAAACCATTGGGCTACAACAGTTTGTTGTGTCAAGGGTGTCCAAAATATATTATTTAATCACTTCGTATATCATTTTACTTGTATATACATTTTTTTTTTCCAATGAAGGGTGTCCAATCTAACCACCACGTAGCTCCGCCCCTGCGTACCGTAAAATAAAAAATGTAACTTTAAAATACCGACCCATACCAAATTAATTAGGTATAATAATGGTATAATACTTTTAAAAACCGAAATTACCTAACAGACGTTTCTAGTACCGTACTATACCATGCATACCATGTCCATCCCTAGTTGAGCTAGAGTATCGAAACTTAACCATATAATGTTTAAATTCTGAATCCGTTTCTGATCACGCAGGTGCTCTAGGTACATTTACAAGATTTTATCCACATATGCAAAGGAGATATGACTATGGATGCATGTTCTCTGTGGCAACATTTAGTTTGGTCACAGTGTCTGGTGATAGGTACTTGGAGTTGGTTAAGCATAGGATATCAACTATTATGGTTAGTGTTGCCACAGTCATGGTTATCTCATTGGTCATTCGACCAGTGTGGGCTGGAAAGGATCTTCATAATCTTATTATTGCAAATCTTGAAAAGCTAGCAAGCTTCTTAGATGGTATGTGAACGTTATAAACACAGTTAAACTATCTGTTTTTTTAGTTTTATATCTAAACTACTGAGAGTGTGAGTTGTTTCATGCTTAAACTATGTATCACTTATTAGTTTGAAAAACACACATCAGCTAATATGTATTGTCATGTTGGTGTGTACGCACTCTCTTTTATTTAAAAAATCTTGTCATATGAACAAAAGATTGGCGGGTTTCATTAATGAAAAGAAAAGCGGAGGCCACAGATCCACCTTGACAAAAAATTAAATAAATTATTAATATTAGTTTAAAGTTAAAGAATAAAGTATTACTATCCGCCCCCCCACTCCCTACCCCTTAAATTTTTATTTTTTTTAGTTTCTGTTATAAAAGGTTTTTAAAAAAAATCTTACCCCCTCCCCTCGAACCACCCACCCCTACCTCCCCTCCTCTCCCATAAAAAAAAATTAGAATTTTATTTTTATTTTTTGAAAAAACAAATTCCTAACCCACTCCCCCAAAAGAATTTTACATTTTCTTAATTTCTTTTATAAACGTTTTTTAAAAACTTCTTACCCTTCTCCACTCAGAGATTAAAATTATAAAGAAGTTAGGGAGTTTCAATGTATACAATCAAATTATTTTATAACAGTGTCATTTGTCTGGATTATTTTTTGTAATGCTATAGAAAAATATTGTTATAAAGAACATATAATATAGTGTAACATGAAATATTGATTCGAAAAAAAAGAACCCAGTTGTTATACTATAATATTGTTATAAATACTAATTGTTATAAAAAGGTCTGATTGACCTATTTATATAGTATAATTTTCGAACGAAGAGATGTTTCTGACTCTCCTTTAACAAGGGTAGTTTAGCCACAAATTGTATGGTGCAAAATTTGAAAAAAGTGAATTCTTTTGTAGGTTTTGAAAGTGAGTATTTTCAAGCAATTGGTGAGGACTCCAAAGACAAGGAAAAGGGATTTCTTGAAGCCTTTAAAAGTGTTCTTGGTTCTAAGGCCACTGAGGAATCTTTGGTGAGTAGATATATAATTGATTATATATATATATATATATAGTATTATTTTTCCGATTCATCCGCTTTATGCTCGTAAGATTCATTTAAGAAAAAAACTTTTTATCCAGAGTTTCTCCATGCATATTATTATCTAATATTTGAAATTTACTGTCGACTATTGAAACATATTATTTGGGCTTAGTACATTCATAAGGCCCAACACACTAATTATTAGCCTGTTCGCTAATACATCCTTGGAATTTTTTTGAAATACACGTCTTATGTTTCCCTTATTTATAATATTCCCTTTTATTTTGTAAAAACCTCTAAAATCTCTTATTTATCCTAATTGTAAATTATTTTATAATGTATTCGAGCTAGTTTTTAATGTATCCAAGCTAGTTTTTACGTATCCGAGCCTGTTTTTAATGTATCCGATTTGTTTTACTTTTTCAGGGATTAATGTAATTACAAACTAAATAGGGATAGATTGTAATTTCATATTAAAACTATGTGATTCCTAAAATTTATACTTAATCCTTTACTTAAACCAAAACTAATTGCTTATAAATATACTATTATGAGTGTTGAATAATCTTATTCTTTCCACTAAGAATTTCTTAGAGATATGTATTTTACCATTTATTATATCACAAATTGTTTGAATTTTTTGTAAAGTGATGTGACACTATACATTTATTTGTTAGTATATATAACTTTTATTAAAAAAATTATTTCAGGCAAACTTTACATGGTGGGAGCCAGCCAATGAACCATTTAGGTTTAATAATCCAGGGAAAGAGTACTTAAAGATTGGTAACCTTGGTAGAGATTGTGCTTGCCATCTTCATGCTCTTAGTGGTCACTTAAAATCAAAATCTAAGGTATATATTTATTTATTTTTTAAAAATGTTATGATATGTTTCAGACCATAATTATTATTATTTTATTTCAAAAAGGAAAAACTTAAATACATTGTCGATTCAAACTATGTCATAAGAAGTAAAATAAAGTAAATACATAATTTCTAATTTGGACACGTGTTTGATTTTTCAGGCACCAACTAAGTTTCATAAAAGAATAGAAGAAGCTTGCAAGGGAATTATTACGAAATCTAGCAATGCATTAAAGTGTCTTACTTTGTCCATCAAAACTAGGACCCAACCCCCTTCCTCCACGGGTGAACCTGACCCGTATAACGCGAAATTCGCCATCGATGAACTCAGAGCGGTGCTCTTAATTACCACAAAAACCATCTCAGAAGAAGACACAATTGACGTCATCACTGCTATGTCGGTGGCATCGATACTCATCGACGTCACTAGATGCGTCGACGAAATCTCCAAAGCGGTGGGAGAGCTTTCGATCAAAGCACGTTTCCAAAAGGAGGAAAAAAGAAGGATACTTCTACGTCAATCGAGGCGTTGAAAAAATTACCAGCGCCTCGATTACTACTATTGCACCGCGGAATTGTGAATGCCGCGGTGAAGGAGGAGGAAAATCCTATAGGTGCAATAAAAGGAGAACATGTTGTTTGTGAGATACATGCAATAGAAGAGGAGATAAAAGCAGAGGGAAAATAGAAGTAAAGTCGATAACAAAAGCAAAGATGGATTTGAAGTTTTTGTATTTTTATAATGATGACTTCAATTAGTCCCAATCAAAGATTATACATATTTAAGAAAAAATATAGTACATAGAGATGATTTGATAAAAAATATTAAATTTACGTGGACTTTATAAGTATATGTATCGAGAGGATAAAAGATTAACTACAAAGTGAAAAGAATTTTCTTTTTAAAAAAAAAGAAAATATAGATATTCAATATACAAAGTTATCTATATTAACAAATGTGTTTCTTCTTGCTTAGCCCTTTTCTTCTTTTTCTGCATGGTTGATTTGTCACAAGGAAAAAACAAAAGAATCGAAGCTAACAATAATTTAAAAGTTAAATTTAAATAATCAAAAATTATATTAAAAATATTATAAAGTACATTTCTTTCATGTCGATATGATGAAGAATATATTTAAAATTTCAGTCAAGTTTACATAAAAAAATGCCACATAATTTAAGACAGAAGGAGTATAACAAACTAACCAACACAAAAATCAATTCAAAATAACGAAATGCTTTGGAAAATTGTTGGGGAAAAGATTAACGGTTTGACTTCACAAATGGTAACACCCGACAGAGGGAGTATCAATTTTCCTAAATAATTAACATATTGACCAAATAGTTTAGAAATTATTACATGGTGTAACTAACTTATAACGATCGACCCATTAGGAGTGTCGCGAAGAAAAAAAAATGTCATGACCCACAGTGAGATCTTAATGGATCATATTGAGGCCCAACTCACTATTTGGACACCATGTGTGGGGTGAGTGGCCCAACTCAAGATGTATTGGGCTTCATAGCCACAAGCCCACAAATTTTGATACATATAGACTTAGGATTTGTTCAATCTTCAATGGGTGTCTTTATTTGTATTTATTTTATGATAAGATATTTGTCGTAAGATATAATTTCTCTGTATTAAATATTTGTTCTATTGATAAAGTGTTTGTAGTCTTTAGGAGCAGTTATTATTAACGATAAAATAAGAAAAAAAAATTAAATTTTGTGTTGAATTTTTAAGTAACAGATAATTTGAGTTAATTATTTTTAAAAATCATGATAGATAATTTGAGACAAAAGGAGTAATTAGGTGGACATAAACTTTGTTTTGGATTTTTGGTACAATAAATCACAAAAATGGTAATGAGAACTGTCACGCCCCGAGCCTACACCCTGGGCGGGACTAAGGCTGGCAAACGGACAGGACCGGATCAACAGAACCGGTTTTACCGGAACCGGTACCGGGACCGGTCCTCGTTACCGGATTTCGTTACCGGAACCGGATCTTACCGGAACCGGTTTTACCGGAAATTTCCAAAGGTTCCGTCTGGTCCCTTAGTTACCGGATTGGAACCGGTTTGGACCGGATCGGAACCGGTTCTTACCGGATCATTTTGTACCGGTAACTTTTTTTTATTTTTTTATTAACTTTAATTATTATATAATATTATATTATTAATTAATAAAATTATATTATTAAAAAACTTCAATTTAAAACTTTAAACTTTAAAGTTACTTTAAAGTTTCAATTGAAT